TCCCCTTGTCCCTGTCATCCTTTGTCCCCACTGCAGGAAGGATGCTGCAGCAGGAGATTAAAATCTCCTGAGTGAAGTTGGGCATTTTATGCCCTGAGTTAAGTCACAAAAACAGATGTAATTCTGTTTCCAGACTGCTCGGCCTTAACGAAAATATTGCTTTCTCATCCCAAAACATTTGTGGGTTCAGGACTGGGCTGTCAGTCACAACACACCTCCACGTCCTGTCCCCTCACCACTGGGGCTTTTGCTTTCAGCTCGATCTGAGAGGTACCGTCACTTGGATTCGGAGGACGAAGAGACCAATGATGAGGAATCATCTGTGGAGATTGGCCAGTTCTCCTCCTGCTCCCACCGCTTCAGCAAGGTGCTCGGATCTGTCCCCTAAGACCCCAGTGGGGTGGTGACAAGGTGCCACAGCCCCCCTGCTGCCACTCCATTCCAACCACTCACCTGTTCCCCAGGTGTACAGCAGCTCTGAGTACCTGGCCACGCACTCCAACCTCAGCCTCTCATCCTCTGACCGGAGCCACAGCGAGGACAAGGAGGACAGGGCAGAGCGGTGGGACCGCCACTCGGGTGACGAAGACAAGAACCGGCCATCGGGCGCAGAGCCCCGGTGAGTGGTGAGACGGAGACTCATGTGAGCTGCTGTCGGTGAGATGTGTGCAAGGGTGCAGGAGGGATCCAGCACCACCTCCTTGCCCATGGGTGGGTGCCCTGAGCCCTCTGGCTCCCTCCTGCAGGCTGCGGTCCTGGACGTCCTGCAGCTCCACACCATACACTGCCCAGCACGAGCGCAGCCGCAGCCCTGCTGCCCTGACCAGCACCTACAGCCTGGACACCATGCCCAAGTTTGCCTTTTCCTCAGAAGATGAAAGCCCTTGTGTGGCCTCAGCCAAACCGGAGCGACCCAAATTTGTGCTGGGAGACCCTGACTCTGGGGTGAAGACCTCATCGCTATCTGGTGCGCAGGTTTTGGGGGCAGTCAGGTTTCCTAACAGTGTGATGTGTTTTCTCCATGCCTTCCCACACCCTATAGAAGGTCCAAAGGCCACTGCCATCCTTGGCCATTTCAGCTCCCTGTTCCTCCTCCCTTTGTGCAGCTGATCTCGTCAGTTTGAACCGCATCCGCCTGCGGAGCAACAGCACTGGCACCAAGAACTCAGCTCCACGAGGCTTGGAGCCAGGCAGCAGCCGCCGGCTGAGCAGCCAGAGGGACGGCGTGGAGAAGCCAAGAACTTCACCGGGCAGCCGAGTGCCCAAATCTGCCTCTGTCTCAGCCTTGTCCCTCATCATCACATCAGGTTTGTGGTAGCCATCTATGGCCACAGTGGCTGCCTTGTGGCTTCCCTGGAACAAGCCATCTCGTTTTTTCTCCTTGCAGATGACTTCAGCAGCGGGGCCCTCATGAGCCCCATCTCCCCTCACTCACTTTCATCCAACCCCTCTTCCCGCGACTCGTCCCCGAGCCGGGATTCCTCCCTGGCCATCACCAGCCTGAGGCCCCCCATCATCATCCACAGCTCAGGCAAGAAGTACGGCTTCACACTGCGTGCCATCCGCGTGTACATGGGGGACAGTGATGTCTATGCTGTGCACCACATGGTCTGGGTAAGCGGCCCAGGGACTGGTGACATTGATGGGACACAAGGGTGGGAGGTATGGGCTGTGTCCAAACAAAACCCCGGCCATTCCCTTCCAGAGTGTGGAAGAAGGGAGTCCTGCACAGGAAGCAGGGCTGAGAGCGGGTGATCTCATCACACACGTGAATGGGGAGTCAGTGCTGGGCCTGGTGCATCGGGACGTCGTGGAGCTGCTGCTGAAGGTAGGTGCTCGCTCTCCTATGATGCACTTGGGACCCGCATGCAGCTGTTGAAACTCGTGCAACAAGCACAAGCAGCAAGTTGAACACTGGTGCTTGAGTGCAGCACGCTCACTGAGCCCTTTTCTGTCCTCAGAGTGGCAATAAGGTTGCCCTGCGGACCACCGCCCTGGAGAACACCTCCATTAAAATTGGCCCTGCCCGGAAAAACAGCTCCAAGACAAGAATGGCCCGAAGGAGCAAGAAGAGCAGGAAAAGGGACAGCCAGGACAGGTGGGCAGAAACAGGGGGATAAAATGGCACGTGTGTCCTGGATGTCCTGGAGCTGGAATGCAACCAGGAAGCTGCTTTGGTTCTGCAGTACCTCAGGGTCTGGTCACATCCAACATGGGTCTGCTGGCATCGGTGGCTCCAAGCAATGTCCCTGCCTGTTGCTGCTGTTTGTGACAAATCTTCCCATGTGTTTTCTTCCCTCCCAAGGAGGAAATCCCTTTTCAAGAAGATCTCCAAGCAGTCAACGGTCCTGCACACCAGCCGTAGTTTCTCCTCCGGCCTTCACCACTCGCTGTCTTCGAGTGAGAGTCTCCCAGAGTCCCCTACGCACAGCCTGTCCCCAGGTCCCACAACGCCCTGCCGCAGCCCTGCTCCGGACCTGCCCCCAGGTACTGTGGCCACCACACATGGGCTTGGAGCTGGTGACATCCCCAGTAGTGACTTCTCTCTCTCTTTTTTGTGGCAGATGCGGTGTCCCCACAGAGCACCTCTCCCTCCTCCAGCACCCCCACGTCTCCAGCTGGCCACGTGCGGCCCAGCACCCTGCATGGGCTGGCCCCCAAGCTGGGGGGTCAACGCTACAAGGTGGGACGCCGCAAGTCCACCAGCAGCATCCCGCCCTCACCCCTGGCCTGCACACCTACCTGTGCCGGGCGGCCCACGTCCCCTCAGAGGTCCCCTTCCCCGCTGCTGCCTGGACACCCCAAAACCACCCATCCCTTCCAAGGCAAGACGCTGTCCCCCCCCACCATTGTGCGGCAGGGGCCGCGGCCACGCAGCGCCGAGTGCCCCCGCTCACCCCTCCTCAAGCGCGTGCAGTCAGCAGAGAAGATGGCAACCTACCTGGCAGAGAAGAAGAGCGTGGGCAGCCGCAAGCTGGGGCTGGAGATGCCTGCACGGGATGGGACTGGGGAGGTGTTTGGGGAGGGCGAAGCGCCCGGCTCGGTGCACTCCGGGGAGCACGGCCATATGGCAGCCTGGCGGCAGGGAGAGCAGGAGATGGTGGTGATGCGGCGCCTGAACCTCTCTGAGCGCCGCGACTCCTTCAAGAAGCAGGAGGCCGTACAAGAAGTCAGCTTCGATGAGACGGGCAGCGAGGACGGTGCCAAGAGCGACACAGGGCAAGGCGAGGGCTGCGTGGAGCCCAGGGTCGGCCGGGTGCCGCAGATCGCAGTGCAGGGCTCAGAGGGTGATGAGCAGGAGCCGGTGGGCTGGCAGTGCCAGGGCTCCTACCCGCTGCACCTGTTGGGCACTGACGGCACTGCTGGCATCGCTGTGCCATGGCGGGACGGCCGCCGGCAGCACCGGACCTGTGGGGACAGGGCCCCCCCTGGGCTGTCAGCACGGGACATCCCCTAAAAGCCAGCCTGGGCACTTGGCTCCGTGGGATTTAACGCACTGCGACCTGGAGGTGTGACTTCTGTGCTCCCGGAGAGATGCTCACGTTTTTGCAGCAGTGTTCCCCTGGTGAGGCCCACACTGAAAAGAAAGGACTCGATGCAACTACTCAGAACTACTCCAAACTAATTTATTACTTTTATAAGCTACAAGGCATTGCAGGGTCCGAGCCATCCCAACCTTTTCTGTGCATTTCCCAGCGCCCGTCCCAATGGCACGATGTTTTCTAACCTGAAGAACCACCAGCTTTTTTCCACATTTGCTCACTTTCAGCTGGAAAAGCACCCAAAAGGTGGTTATAAGGCGGTTTTCTGAATAGCACTGAAGCTGAGGGTTCCCCTCTGTAGACAGGGGGTTGGACTACGTGATCTTAGTGGTCTTTTTCAACCTTTATGATTCTATGATTTGCATTCAGGATCGCCTCCCCATAAATCCTCCCCAGCGCCTCCCTACTCTGTAGGAAAATGCTCCAAACCCCATCATCCTGTGGGCAGCATGGCAGGGGCCACACGCTTTGTTTTATTAACATGTGGTGGATGGAGAGGTTTAATTTTTCTTTATTACGATCCATTCTGAGAAAGATCCAAACCACTGAGCCCAGTCCATTGGCTTTCCCAAGTGGGGTGGTGCTGGGGAGGAAAAGCTCACCCGGCCCCACCACGCCGGGGGTTCAGCAATTTAATACAAATAATGGCATTTTTGGGTTTACTTTTCAATCTGCTGTGATGTATCTTTGGGCATGCACAGGTGCATTTTGTGAAAAACCACTATTTTTTTTTTTTGTTTTAACAAAAACAAAACAAAAACCCCACACCAACCCCTCCCCCTCCGCCCCCAGTTCTTCCATCAACCACCAAACCCCACCAAACCCCCGTTCCTGGCAGGATTCTGAGGCCCCATTTCTGACTGGATTTGTGGGCCCGTTCCTGACTGGATTCTCAGCACCCGTGAGGCCTTTCCCACAGCGTTCCCGCTCATTTTACCTCACGGCGCTCCGCTCCGGCCCCTCGCAAAGGGTTTTTTAACGGAAAACGTGGTGAAAGCAAACAGGGCCTTTGCTTCGAAGGGCCGAGCACCGGCCTCGCTGTCAGCACTGCGGAGTTTTATGTGGCATTAAATTGTTCCTTGGGACTTGCTGTGGCCTGCGGCCTTCTGCAGACGTGGCTGGGGCCGGGTGGGGGCTGGAGGAGGGCGAGGGGCCGGGGTCCTCACGAGGGCCGCGCAGGGCCCACACAGCGCAGGGCCCGGCGACGCTCCGTGCCCGCTTCCCCCTCCCGCCGCCAGGCGGCGCCGCACCGCTCTCCCGCACGGCCGCGCTGCCCCACACCGCCGCGCGGCGGTTGGCGCCGGTCAGCGGTCGGCTCTTTCCGGAACTGTTCGGCCGCGGGGGCGGGATCCCGATCGCAGCCGGCAGAGCGGGGTAAGGGGCGTGGCCAGCGAGCGTTCGGGGAGGTTCGTTCTTCTCCGACAGCTGTCGGGTCTTTCCGGGGCGGGTTCGGGCCGTTCCGGCGGCGTTCGGGCCTTTTCCCAGGCTGCCGCCGGGCCGGAAAGAAGGAACGGGCTGGAGGCGAGCGGCGGCGGATGGAGGCGGCGGGGAGGTGAGCGGGGCCGGGAATCAGCGAGCGCGGGCGGCCTCGGGGCCGGCGGGCGGGCGGGCGGTTGGGCGGTGCGGGCGGCGGCAGCAGCGGCAGCAGCAGCAGCTGACGGGCGCGGGCCCCGAGCTCGGCCCGGCTCTCCGCCGCAGTTCCGCGTCCCGGTGTCGCCGCCGTCCCCGCTGCCCCGTGCGGCCGGGCCGCTCCCGGAGCTCCACGTGCCGGCCGTCGTTGCGCGCGGGGCGGCGTCCCGGGCTGCGGCGCGGAGAGTAGCGGGGAATGAAGCCGGGGGTCCGGGCTGTGCGAGCGCCGCGGGACGGCCGCCTGTCTTTTATCTCCGGAGCGGGGAACCGCGGCTGCGAGCGCAGGGATGGAGGCAGCTGAGCGAACGCAGCCGCAATCGTCGCCTTCCCGGCCCCCCGCCCTCCCCGCCGCCGCGGCCCCCGCGTTCTGCCGTTCTGCCCCGCAGGTCGTGGCGCGGCGCCGACTGCCGTGCTGTGGGTCTGCCGGCGGTGATCGCTGCCCCCTTTTTACCCCTTGGCTCCTCTAAGAACGTGGAAAAATCCCTCCTGCGTGCGGTTGGTTCTCACTGCACGAAAGTTCTGCGTTGGTCGGGAGAGAAACCGCAGCTCGGAGGAATGCAGCGGGGAATGGAGCCAGGCTGGAGCGGCGGAGCGCCGCTGTGTTTACAATAAAAAGCAGTATTTATAATATCGGGGGCTCTCTTAATTCCTCCGAGAGTATCTGCAGCCACGGCCTGGCGCTGAAGCGGCTGAGTAATGGAAGATAGAGAGCAAACGGAGGAAGGGACGGCGCGGCTCCGGCTGGAAGGTCGTGCAGCTCTTGCTGTATCGTGGGGTTGCACGCGGTTACGTCGCACCTTGTAGGTTATTCTGCCGTGTGGAGCTGCTAACAAACTGTCATGGATTCCTGACGCTGCAGAAAAGTGATTTTAAGCAGCTGGGTCAGCAGAAGCGGGATGTCGTTTCTGTGCGCTCTCTGCTTTTTTAGAACTGTGCCTTTTTTTTTTAGGGAAATAACCAAAACGCAGCCATTGCTGGGTTTGCTTCTGGGGAAATGAAATCCCAACCCTGAGCTTTTCCCTGTGCTTGTAGAGTGGGAATAGGGTGCTGTGGGGACGTGTCAGGGCACACAGAGCGAAGAGCCCCAGTGCGTGGAGTTCTGCTCCGTGAGTGGGGCACTGCTGCTCTGCTGGCAGCTGCAGCAGAAGCATTTCTTGGTGAGAAAAGAGGTGAAAATGGGCTTGGCTGCCCCATGCCATGCTGCTTTTAGCAGAAGGAAGGTTTTTCTCACGGTTTGTAACCTGTTAACATGTGGGGTTTTGTGCAGTTCAGAACATGACCTGTTTTTTTCCTTCTTTTTCTTCTTTCTTCTCCTTTTTTCCCCCTCGCTGAGGAGCTGATGGAGGCATTGGAGCTGTGTAAGCTGCCATAAACACTTCTTTTAGAATATTTTTACGCATACTTGTGCCTCGCTGGAGGGAAAGCAATGCTCTGCCTCACTTCAAGCCAAGCTGCCCTTTGAACTGCATTTGGAACTTGGTTAAAACGCGCAGGAACCACATTTCATAAAAGCTAAGATGCTTTTATTTATGTGCTGGGCACGCAGAAAAAAGGCTTGTAATGTGTTTTTTGTTTCAGACTGGTGTATTAAACAAAGAAAGTATTGACAGCGGTTAATGAATCGTGGGATTGTTTCTGGGCACTGAGATAGATTTACCAAGGTATTTAGATGTCTAATGCATGGGATTTTCGGAGGAGCCCGACAAGTGCTCGCCAGCACAGACACACGAGGCTCCTTCCCCGTGAGCGGAGCTGGAGATGGGCCCAGCAGAAATGTGCTGGCAAGCTGCTGGCTGTCCTGGCGCACGCAGAGCCCCGCTTTGGAGGCGCTGGCAGCAGGCAGGCTCGTGCGTGTCCCGCGCTCTCGGCACCGCCTGCCCCTTCCCAGCTTCTCCTTCCCTCCAAATATCTATTTAAGGGCTGTGGAAGCTCTGCGCTCCCTCCCCCTCTCCCCAGACACGCACTGATCTCCTGCTCTTTGCAGAGGTTCCCCACATCGTGGTCCTGCACGGCCCAGCTGCCCGCTGGTGGCTCCTGGAGGACAGGCAGCGACGCTCCCTGCCAGCATGGACTGAGTGCAGGGAGGGCAGGTGAGCTGCGAGGCCGGCCTGGCTCCAATCCCGTAATTATCTGCATGCCAGGTGCCCTGCTGGGGCGTGGAGAGCAGGGCAGTGTGGAGGCAGGTCTCTGCTTTCCCACCGGGGTCTGTCGTGCTGAGAGGTGCTGCAGCAGCTGAGCTCCTTGCCTTGTGCAAGAGCAGGCGCCGGGCTGCACGGAGCCAGAAGCTGTGGGACCTGCTCCTGGGAGACTCGGAGCTCCGGAGCCTCTTCCCACCCCGCCGTGCAGCTCTGCTTTTAAAAGCTACTGAACGAGTTTGCCAGGGCTGAGAGTTTTTGTCCTCCCAGCCTCAGTGGCTGCACGAGCTGGTTGGAAGCACCTGGCTTTTGTGCTGGGATCTGAGCCTGGATGCCGGGCAGCCGCTGCGTTCAGGCTCTGTCCCCTGCAGGCTGGTGGCTCCTCTCCATCAGACCCAGCAGGCAGAGTTCAGAGGGGCGAGGGGCAGGCGTCCCAGCGTGGCCATAAATCTCTCTTAATGCTCTGGGTTATGAAGTAATATTTTCCTGGCTGGGGCTGCTTGGATTCAGGAAATGTGCGTTCTGCTGTGAGCGTTCTGTGGCTACTGTGCTGGGGTGTGCTGCCTTGCTGCAAGCACCCCGCATCCCGAGGGCCTCCTGGGGAGCTGTGCAGCCTTGCGTTGCACTTAAAGCCGTGGAGAAGCTCTCCAGTGACCTGGATCAGGCTCAGTCCTGTTCTGCACCAGCTGGAGCCTCCCTGCGAGCCTCCGGCCTCCCTGAGGGTTCTCTGCTCATTCATGGAGGAGGCAGCCCAGCTGGGATGTTTGCCCAGACTCAGGCAGCTAGCACAGGCTCTGGCTCCTGCACAGGTTTTGTGCTCTGCAGCCTCTTTGTGCTTTTCTTTGTCGAGGGAATGAGCGAGCTTTGCAGGGCGGTGCTGGGAGCAGCCGGGCTGCAGAGCTGGGGGTGCAGCCAGCTTCAGGGGGGGCTCGTGCCATCTCTTCCACCTTCTGCTAGCACGCAGATGTGGTAGGAAAGGGGGCTTGTAGCTGCATGTAGCTGGCCCGGGAGGGTTGTTTCAAGTTGCTGCAGATCACGGATGTTAATGCCTCTTGCTGAGCCCAGCATGAGGTCGGAGCTGCTCTGGCTTTGGTTGGCGGAGCGTTCGTCCTGCTGGGAAGGGTGCTGGGCTCACCCGGTGCAGGCAGAAGGCTCTGCTCCTTCTGCCTCGGGGAGCTCCGAGCTCCAATCGCTTTCAGATGAGGTGTGGGTTTCGGACCAGAACCGCTCAGGCTGTGAACAGGACCTGCAGCCATCCAGCAGGCCTACGGCATCGCTGGGACTGTGTTCCCAGCTGCCCCCGCAGGCTGTGCCGATCCTCAGCACCACGGCTCAGCCTCAGGGAGGTGGGAATGGCAGGGAGGGATGGGAAAGGAGGACGTGTTGGGAATGCCCCGGCTCACATAGCCCTTAACCAGCATGTTACAGCCCAGGTTTGTTCTTTTGGGTGGCTTTCTGGGCTGGGCAGGCAGCCTATTCTTCAGTTTCTCTGTGTTTGAATAGCTTAAAGGCGGTTAGCAGCTCTAAGCAGATTTGAAGGCTTCTGAAGATACTTTTATTTTTAACCTCTCTCGCTTCCATCTGTGAAGAAACTGTGCCTGCGTTGCCTACACGCTTCGTGCTGCTGCTTTTAAATAAAAGTTCAAAAATTCACTTTGCTCAGAGCAAAGCTTTGAAGTGCTGCTCTGTGGGAATGGCAGAGCGTCTCAAAACCTTCAACTGAAAGCTGTGTTAACCTACATTTGTGGGCAGTTGCCTTCAGAAAATGACTCTGTGAGGAATTGCATGGGGAGATGTAAAGGTGACCTGTGAAATTTAATCAATTTAGCAAGAAAAGGTTAAATCTGTTTGTTTTGCTCCTATTCAGGGCCTCCAGCTGGTGGTTGCAGGGTCACCCTTTTCTGTATGCAAAAGTTCCTGCATAAAGGCTGTTTTGTCCCACTTGTTGTCTTCTTGTTTGCATGAGTGCTGTGAAGAGAGCAAGCTGAAGAAACAGAAGTGATCCTCTTTAGGATGCAGAGCCAGTGCCTGGCTGTGGCAGAGAGGAGGTGTTCGCTCTGCAGAGCATTCCTGCGAGCAGCCGCTGGCTCCTCTCTTGCTTTTCTGAGCGTAAATTGCTCTTAGCATGTCCTGGCAGAGAGCGCTGGATCCAGGGCTTGCAGTGAGCCTCGTTAGGAGAGAAGTGAGCCCTGCCTCGCTTGGATGATCCCCTGCTTTGAATGCTGGCGTCCTGGGAGGGCGCGGGGTGCCTGGCGGTGCGGTGACCAGCCTCCTTCTCTTTCATTGCAGGCTCTGGGTCTGGAGGAACAGCATGCCACGCGGCTCCTGGCTGGAAACGCTCCGTGCTTTTGCCCTGCGGACTCCAGGAAACCTTCTTTTTTGGTGAACTGAACCCTGCCCTCCTTTTTTCTTTGCTGCATGCCCACTCACGAGTGCTGGATTATGTTTGTCTCCTTCTCCCTTTGCTCCATAATTTGGCTGAACCGCGGTTTCAAGCTGAGGAAAAGGGGCTGCACCTAAGCAAGCCGGGGCACTGGGACCAGGCTCCTGAGGTGCCGGTTTGTGCAGAGACGTTCAGACTGCTGATGGGGGAGAGCTGCCCCTGAGGTCTCTCCTCTCCCACCCAAAGGACGCTGCCTCGCTGTTCAGAGCCGTCTCCTCATGGCAGAGAGAATGGGCAGCACTGACGGGTTCCAGTACCGTGCGCTCTATCCTTACCGCAAGGAGCGCGAGGAGGACATTGACCTGGTGCCTGGGGACATCCTGGTGGTGAGCAAGGGAGCCCTGCAAGCCTTGGGCTTCAAAGATGGGGACGAGCAGAACCCCAACCAGATCGGGTGGATCCTGGGTGTCAATGAGAGAACCAAGCAGAAGGGTGACTTCCCCGGCACGTACGTGGAGTACGTGGGGCCCGTGAAGATCTCCGTCCCTTCACACCGGCCCCGAGTGCAGAGACCCCTGCCTGCAACACCAGGAGCCAGTGGCTGCCGACTGCAGGAGGCTCTTGAGCAAGGTAAGCATCACTGCAGGCCCCTTCTGCTGCTCAGCAGATCCCTGCCAGGTGTTGAGTTGTGCAGGATTTGTGGGCTCACGCTCAGTTCTGGCCAAAAGCAAAGCGCTGTGTTCTTCGAGTGTTTTGATCTGCGTTCATACTTTGCAGTGCTTCTTGGGACAAGCCTTGTTCCTCTCTAACTTCTCAGAGGTCTTTCCCTGGGCCATGACTGGCTGCATCCCGTGGTCCCTCTCCCTGCTTTGCTGAGGGTTTTGCCCAGCTCCCTCCTTCACAGAGCAAGTCCTGACCTCTCCTGTCTGCCTCCTGAGCACCTGGCACATTGCTCCTTGCCAAGAGCTGCTCAGCCCCACTGAGATGCAGTTACTTGTCTCTGGGCAAGAGGAGAAAAATCTGGATCTAAAAGAGTATTTCCAAGAACTGCAGCTAATTTTCATCTGCCTGGCACCCGTCCCTATCTGTGCATGGCTGAGCCAGGGCTGAGCAGGGCATGAGCACTGCACACCTGGGGTAAGAACTGGGCTTGGCATGGCTTCAGCAGAGAAGCTGCCCACCTCAGTGCTGCCCACAGAACTGGGAGCCCACGGCTGTCCTGTCAGATGCTGTATGAAACCTCTGAGAGGCCCTAAGGAGTAGAAAGGAGCCCCTTTCTACTCCTGTGACAGTGGGATGGTGGGGCTGTGTGCGCTGTTCCCAAACCCAGCATCACGGCCCTGGGGATCCCACGGTCTCTGCAGGGTGCAAACGTGGCTGGGACTGGCAGCAGGAGCCACCAACTTGCGTCACCCCCTTTCCAGGGATTGGCTCCTTGTGGGAGCCCGGGGCACGCTCTGCAGTGCATGTGTTGGCCTTGCCTGCACCCAGCCCTGCACACCCTCGAGGGCTGTACTTGTGCCTCTGTGGGCTCTCTCATGCTCCTGGAGCTTGGCTTGGCAGAGCTGTGTGTGGGTGGTCAAAGCCTCTGCCCTGTGCAAGGTTGGGGGTGGAGAGCTGTGTGATGTGGAAAAGGATATGTGCTGACGTTCCCGACCCATGGAAAAGAAACCAAAAGCCAGCCGCTCTGCTTCCTGCCCTAGGATGGACAGAGTGAAGATGGAACGTGGTGCACCGGGTGCCAGCTGTGTCCCTGCCCCTCGTGGGTGCATCCCACAGCCACCCCAGGCACACAACCTGTGGGACAGCAGTTCGAATGCCTGAGGCCATTTTGCACGCGGCACGTTGTGTTGCTGGGGAAAGGCACATTTTTGCAACAGAGGAATTGTATTCAAGCCAAGGCTGTGTTATTTCTTTGTGGCCTGCCTGTCCTCGGCTGAGGCCTGCTTGGGAGGTGCAGAGATGTCTCTTGGCTGCTCGCTCAGCTCACAGCTGGCTGTATTTCTGCCCTGCTTCCTGGGTCTGCTCTGACTTGGCAGTCCCTTACCCCCTGTCACACAGCATGGCTGTACTGTAGCCCGGGAGGAAGGGGCCCCGGCACAGACAGCCCTGCAGGGCAGCAAGCCCCGGTGCTTTCCGAGGCTGAATTTATGAGCTTCTGGTGTTTGCCTTCTGCAGAGAGCGTGAGCGGAAAATGCGGCTTGGAAATATTTCCGCAGCTGCCCGGCTGTGCTGTGAGTGCCCTTGTTCACTTGGGCCCAGCCCAGAGGCCTGGCAGGGCTCGGGAGCTGCTGCTGGCTGCAGCATGGCTGCTGGATCCCAGCGCAGGCTGCTGCCTGCTGAAACAGCACATTCCCAACTGGACCACGTGGGGAGCACAGCGTTTACCCTCCCTTTAGCCCTTCCCAAGGGTCAGGCCTGGAGCTGCCAGCCCTGTGCTCCTCGTCCAGCTGCAGTGAGGACCTGGCCTCACCCCGGCGAATGCCGTGCTGAGCCCCATTCTGTGCCCAGCCACGAGCATGGGCAGCTCTTGGAGCAGCTTTGTTCTGCCTTGGGATCGTCCATGCTGAGCTGCTTCCTCCTCTGTGGTCATCGTCTCAAAGCACGGTCCTGAGCTGTTTTGTCCCTCGCTGTGGCAGTGGGGGCAGGAGGTTCACTGGGTACTAACTAACTTGCAGCTTGTGCTGGGACCACACTGGGTGCACAGGCAAGCTCAGGTCAGATCCCTGACAGCAGAGCTGTGTTTTGCAATGCAGTGCTGCCTTTTGGTTCTGCTTCCATGAAGCAGAGTGTGCTGGGTGTCCTCGTGGACCACTGATGTCCCTTTGCTGGGGACTGACTGGTCTGGAGGAGCCTCCAGCCTGGCTGGCACTCAGCAGGGAGCAGGGATGAGCCTGACTCTGCTCATCCTCCTGTTGGCAGCTGGGCGTGCACCCTCCTGCCCTGGTATGCGTCACGCTCAGCATGGGGAAGCATGCCTGGGGCCCTGCTGTGCTGGCCCCGAAGCCACCTCATTGGAGCACATAGGCTGTGCTTTGGCAGCACCCTGCCCTGTGATCACACTGCAGCTCCATCTCCAGCTTCCCAAAAGACACCTCGAGGCAGCTGCCCTGCATCACGGCGTGTCGCAGCCCTTCCCACACTGCTGTGATCCTGTTACAGATCCAGAGATGGCACCGAAGTGCTGTTTGATGCAGGGCCGTGCCTGTGGTAAACGTGGGGAGGGTCTGGGAGCACACAGTTAGGGCAGTGAGGGCTCCAGGGACACGAGGTGTGGAGCAGCCGGCTGTGCTGCCCTGACCGGTCCGTGCGGGCTGCCTGCAGCACAGGGCTGCCTGCAGCAATCCTGCCACAGGGTGCCTGGTGCTGTGCCGCAGGCTGCCCGCGCCCTGCAGCAGCTTGCACCGAGGTTACGGCTAGCGGGGAGGGGGAGGCAGAGGGCTGGTTTCCATGTTAAGCGAGCAATCAAGGGCAGGAATTTGCTGACGCTGCACTCTGCCTGAATTGCTGGATTAATCACAGCTCACCACTGCGAGCGAGCTCCCCAGCCACGCTCCTCCACCAGCCCTGTGCTGTGTCCTGTCCTGGGCAGGGGCTGAATTCCAGAGCCCAGGTAACCCCTGCAGTGCCTGCCTGCACGAGCTGAGCATTCAGGGAGGTAAACTCTGCTCTGTAGCGTCATCAGAAAGCAGTACGGATCCCCCTGTGTGTGCAAACCCCATTGTGCTTTCTGGGACTCTGAGTGAGGCTGGGCTCCGCAGATTCTGGGCTGGTTTAGGGACCAGCTTGTGGGCAGCCTGCAGGCTCTGCGTAGCATTTGTGCGGCTGTGGCCTGGCAGCAGGGGCCAGGGGTCAGGCTTTCTCTGCCTGGGGGTGCTGCTGTTAGGAGCAACGTTATCGTTTGTGCTCTGGCCCCAGCTCTGCTGCGAACTGTCTGCTGAGAGGGGTCTGACCTCTTCCCTTTCTCCCCAGGGTCTCCTCTCCCCGACCTGCAGGAGCAGTTCAGCCCTCCAGAGGTTGCACCTCCACTGCTGGTGAAGCTGGTGGAAGCCATTGAGAAGAAAGGTAATGGGGGATATTGAGTACCAAGGGGCTGACACCCTCTAGAACCCAGTGAGAGTGGGACAAAGGCAGCTGTTTATAAAAGCTGTTAGTGTTGGATGGAACACTGAGATATGTGATACACAGCTGCCTGTGGGAGGGGGGCCTCCCGATCCCCTCTGGCCTCAGGTGCTGGTCCCCAGGCTTAAGCCTGCTGCGTTGTCCCGCTCCAAACAGCACAGAGCTTGTGCTGCAGTGCTTGGAGTGCAGCAGGGTGCTGAGGTGCCCTGGATGCTGGGCAGGCTCTGCAGGGTGCACCCAAATCCCCGCTGTGGGGGCACTGAGCCGGGGCTTGGAGGCTGACCCAAGGATCGAGGGGGGCTGTGGCAGCAGCTGCAGGAGTGCTGCGTGGGCTGCCTGCCTCGAGTCGTCTGCAGCCGTTGTCTTAGCAGGCTGGCTGCAGAACGGTGCGTGCGCTGGGACTCACAGCAGCGTCCTCCCTTCTGCAGGGTTAGACAGCGAGATGTTGTACAGGACATCTGGCTCCGAACTGAGGCAAGCTCTAAGAACCGGTAAGAACCAGCTCTTCATGGTGAGGAGGCGAATCGGCTCAGATGGAGGAGATTAGTGGATGTGACAGCACCAGCAGTAATGCAATCCAGGCCGGGCTCGCCTGTCCCTGGCGGTTCCTGACTGCCGGCACGCTGCCTGCGGGGCCGGCCCGTCCTGACATGTCCCCCTTCGCATGCTGGGGTCGGGACGGGGAGGATTCCTGCTGCCTTTCGTGGGCAGGGGCCGGGGCAAAGGGATGCGGCCCCAGCTGAGAGACCCGCAGGCCTCCAGGTGAATCCCCACGCTGCTCTCCTGCCGTCTTCGGGGTGCCCTGCTCGGGGTGCTCTGACGACAGCCTTGTGGAGCTTCTCTGGCTCTGTCACACCACTAATAAGCAGAGAGGATCACAGAGCTCGGCTTGGTGGCTGGAGCTGTGGCTCCGCTGTGCCTGCGGCTGGCGGTCTGTGCCAGCGAGCCCCGGGAGCTGTCTGCCTCTCGGCTGAGCCTGGGCCTCGTCCAGCACCCTGCTAGCTTGTCCCCTTTCGCAGATGTTCTTCATGGGCCTGAGCGAAGCAGTGCTCTTGGCTCCGGCCGTGCTGCTTTCTGAAGAGGCTCTCTGTGCTGTCCCAGCAGCCTGTGCCTGGTGTTTCTGGGGCAGCACGCTTCAAGGGAGACATTTTCCCTGTTGGGTTTGGTGTGTGAACAATTGGCTGATCCCCTCTTCATGCTTGTCTCTAACAATAGCAGGGAGTAAAACTCAGACAAGTCATATGTCTCAGCAAAAGGTGTGGGCACCCAAATCCACTAACACCCCCTCCCAGGGGAGCCCCTGCCTGCTTACTTCAGGGAGATGGGCACCTCCAGGCAGGTTCGGTCTTCTGGTCTGCTTGACTGCCCAGGAGCTGCCAGAGCTCTCTCTGAGTGCCCACGATGATTGCTGGCAGCAGCCAGAGATTTTGCAGCTGTTTCTAGGTGCCCCCATCGCTCGCTGCACTCATGCTGCAGTGGGACACAACGCTCTGGGGCGGATGCCAGATCTGCACCCACCTCCCATGGGAAATCTCTGCCTTGGCAGATTGGAGCCTGGGTGACCTGGAGCCCTTTGATGTGCACTCCCTGGGCGAAGCGCTGCGAGGCTACCTGCAGGACCTGCCCTCCCCTGTGGTGCCAGTGTCTGTGCATGGAGACATCCTTCGCATCCTGCAGGGTAAGGGCTTCCCCGGCCACACTTGGGAATGGGTGCGTGGGTGGAACGGATGTGTTTGGGGTAATAAAATAGGTCTTGTCCCTCTGGGGTTTGTCATGTGGCCTCTGCTGCTGACAGTGCTCCCACGCTGCGACAGCCAGAGCGTGGAAAGCAGTGCCGGCTGCCCAGCCATTCCATCGTGTCTTGCTTCTCTCCCCAGAGATCCCCCAGCCAGAGAATTGCCGGAAACAGCTGCTGCTGGCCTTGGAGTCGCCTGCGATCCCACTCCAGAACACGCTCACCCTACAGTTCCTGCTCCGGCATCTGGGGAAGGTATCGCAGCAGGCCGAGAGCAACAGCCTCCACCCTCAGGCCCTGGGAGAGATCTTTGGCCCCCTTCTCCTCCGGCTGCCCGGCGCCAGGTACGTGCAGCTCTCAGATCCCAGCCATGTACCCGCTGCTGGCCGCTGTGCCTGCCAGGACAAGGAGTCCAGGCTGTAACAGTACATCTACCCGCACCCCGGCCCTGCTGCACGTGGGATTAAACTGCTGGCAGCATACAGAGGTGGGGCCCAAAGCCAGGGCAGAGCCCTTCTGTTATTCTGCAGCAGCTGGGCTGTGCCGGGATGAACAGCTGACCCTGCTGACCCGTTGCGCAGGGGGCACAGAGGAGTGCCAGGCTCTCCCCTACAATTGCTGATTCGTTCCTCTCTTCCCACAGCCCGGAGCTGAGTCCTGACTTCTCTGTGCTTTTTCTGGAGATGCTTCTGCAGACGAAGGAGTTGGAGCCAGAACAGTTGCCTCCAGGTACCGTCCTCAGTAGCTGACATGCCCCCTCTTCGGGACCCGAGGCATTAGCACTTGTGCTGTGTGGGTGTGGAATCCCTGCCTCCCCGAGCAGATTGCTGAGGGCATTTCTGTAGCCCAGCTGTGCTTGGATGCCTGCTCAAGGCTCTCATCTCTTGCTCCTGGCAGTGTGGTGGCCCAGCAGGCCTTCCCAGGACAATTACCTCAGGGAGGGGGACTCTGAGCTCCAAGGGATTGCCTCTGGCGAGGGTGTGGAGCTGGGCTACGGGCCAGTCCTGCTTTAACCCTGCTTCAACTCTACTTCTCTTACAGCATTGCCTCCAAAACCACCGAAGCCAAAGCCCAGTGCAGCCAGCCTGGCCAATGGGAACAGTGTGCCCTTGCAGGACGCCGAGTGGTACTGGGGTGACATCTCCCGGTAAGGGGGTGGCTGGCAGCTCCTGCTGTGGATGCCCAGGCTGTTGGGTTATCTAGAGGAGCTCTGGTTGCACCTCACAGACTGTGACAATCCTCTGTCCCTCTCAGGGAGGAAGTGAATGAGAAGCTGCGGGACACACCAGATGGTACCTTCCTGGTGCGTGATGCCTCCAGCAAGATCCAGGGGGAGTACACACTCACACTCAGGTAAGGTGCTGGAGCCCTTTGAGAGCCTCTGCTGCCCTGGGGTGGAGCTGTCAGCAAGTGTCCCTATGGCTGATGGAACATCAGGCTGGCACAAGGGGGACATCCGTGCTAGAGCAGAGCACTGGAGTGGTGATAGGCACCTTCTGCTCTCTTCTCCCTGCTACAGGAAAGGAGGCAATAACAAGCTGATCAAGATCTTTCACCGAGAAGGGAAGTATGGCTTCTCAGAGCCCCTGACTTTTGGCTCAGTGGTGGAGCTCATCACACATTACAGGCATGAGTCGCTTGCCCAGTACAACGCCAAGCTGGACACCAGGCTGCTCTACCCCATCTCCAAGTACCAGCAGGTGAGGCCTGTGCTGCAGGAGTGATGGCTGGCCAGCACAGCCAGAACCAGGGCATCTATTTGTTCATCCATCCCTGGCCCTGTGGTCCAGACCGTGTTCTGCAGCATCTCTTTGCTGTGCTGGGACATTGCTCTGTGGGGTAATCGGCACCCTGCAGGGTGGGTGGGGTTTCATGGGGCCGACTGCCTTACAGAGGGCCTGCTTGTAGGGCAGCAGCGGGTCCTGACTTGAGGCTTTGTGTATGGCAGGACCAAGTGGTAAAGGAGGACAGTGTGGAAGCTGTAGGGGAACAGCTGAAGGTCTATCACCAGCAATACCAGGACAAGAGCTGGGAGTATGATCTGCTGTATGAGGAGTACACCCGCACTTCACAGGTATGTGGCCCCATGGGCTGCCCCAACGTCACCGATCACTGGCAGCCATACACTGCACAAAGGAGAGCAGAAGTTGGGCACCCACTGCCCCATTTGTCCACCCTGGATTTGGGGGGACTCCCCAGAGAACTTCAGAGTGGGAATGTATTGACTGCACCAGGGACAGTGCTGGTTTGGGAAGGGGGGAATAGGATGCTCCAGATGGGCAGAAACCTGCCCGCATCCTCCCCCTCACTCAGCTCTCCTCCTCAACTCAGGAGCTGCAGATGAAGAGGACGGCAATTGAAGCCTTTAATGAAACGATCAAGATCTTTGAGGAGCAGTGTCAGACACAGGAGAAATGCAGCAAGGAGTACATCGAGCGCTTCCGACGAGAGGGCAACGAGAAGGAGGTGCAGCGGTAAGGACTGAGGGCAGCAGTGACCTGTCCTGCTTGGAGAAGGGCTCTTGGGGCTGGAAGGAACATCCGGGCTCAGGGCAGAGCCGAGGCACGCACAGCCCTTTTCTCCAGCGTGCTGCAGGCTGGAGCTGGCAGGCTGCCTCCCTCACCTCCCCCACCTTGGCTCACAGCCCACCCTTCCTTTCTCCCAGGATCCTCATGAACTCAGAGAAGCTCAAGTCTCGCATCACGGAAATCCACGACAGCAAGATGAAGCTAGAGCAGGACCTGAAGAAACAGGCCTCGGAAAACCGGGAGATCGACAAGCGCATGAACAGCCTCAAGCCAGACCTCATGCAGCTGCGCAAACTGCGGGACCAGTATTTGGTGTATGTAGTGCCTGCCCCCGCAGAGGGCTGGGAGAGGGGCCCAGCTCCCTTGCAGCCCGTCCAGCTGGCTCCTTGAGGGCTTTGGGGTTTGTCAGACTGGCTCTTAGGGCTGCTGTGTGCAGGAGCAAGGAGCCCTGCAGCCTTAGGGCATGGCAGCTTCTCAGAGGGGGAGGCTGCTGCCCTCTGGCGATGGCTGCTGGGTGAGTGCTGTCTGGCCTGGGCATGTTGCCTGCACTGAGCTCTGCTTCTTCTTCCCTAGGTGGCTGACGCAGAAGGGTGCCCGGCAGAAGAAAATCAACGAGTGGCTGGGTATCAAGAACGAGACAGAGGAGTGAGTGTCCCTGCTTGTGTGTTGGGGGCTGTAGGAGCACAGCTGGTGCAGCCAGTTCTGCCTGTTTGGGGGCCTTGGGCAAGTCCCATCTCCCTGTCTGGGAGCTGAGGACGCCTTCCTTGCCAGGAGTGATGGCAGCTGGCTGGGGGAGGGAAGATGTGGGGGCCACACGTCCAAACTGAAGGGTCCTGACCCTGACTGTGCTCAATTGCAGTCAGTACTCCATGATGGATGACGAGGAGGAACTGCCCCACCACGAGGAGCGGACGTGGTACGTGGGGAAGATCAATCGCTTGCAGGCAGAGGAGATGCTGTGTGGCAAACGGGACGGCACCTTCCTGATCCGTGAGAGCAGCCAGAAGGGGTGCTATGCCTGCTCCGTGGTGTGAGTACCCCCACAGTGCTGTGTGTGAGGCTGCAGCCACATGGGGAGCACAGCCCGGCGGAGGGATGGGGCTGGTGTTGGCTGTGCTCCCGAGCTGCTCTGCCCTTCTCTTGCCAGATGTGGAGGCATCAGCTGGCAGACTGGGCTTCCCCAGAGTCTCCTGTCTGCCACGGCTCCTCATGCCAGGGCCAGATGTGTTTTTGGGCAGCTCTGGTGGTACCAGCTTGTGCTCTGCTATTGCTGTCCTAGCAGGGATCCTTCGCATGCCGCTAACCTGTGTTCCCTTTTCTCCCTGGCAGGGTGGATGGTGACACCAAGCACTGCGTGATCTACAAGACAGCGACTGGCTATGGGTTTGCAGAGCCCTACAACCTGTACGCCTCCCTCAAGGACCTGGTCTTGCACTACAAGCACACGTCCCTGGTGCAGCACAATGACTCCCTGAATGTCACGCTGGCTCACCCGGTCCTTTCCCAGCCACCAGCCAGATGAACAGACCATGCACAACACAACAGCTGCCTTCAGCTTCTCCCCAGAGCGCTGCTTTCTGGCTCTGGACTCTTGCACCCTGTATAGTTGAGTCTCTGTGCTCCTGCCCCTCCAGAGCATCTGAGATGTCTGTGACCGTTCCTGGTGTCCCTTTTGGTCAGTAGCTGAAACCCGTGTTGGCTGATGGGACAAAAAGGCTGGAATGTTGACTCGCAGCGGCCTCCAGCCCTAAAGAGGTGGGATCTGGTTGTGATTGATTTGCTGTGGATGAGCGCAGCTTCCTCCCCTTCCCCAACAAACAGGTCAGATCCCCTTCTTGCTGGCAGGTTGCCCCGCTATGCATCACCGTAGAGCTAGATCCCAATTCCTCTGCACTGTGGTGTCATTCCCTGCCCAGCTGAGCAGCACTGGCACATTCTGAGCGAGGGGCTCCTTGCCAGATCCTGGAGGAGAAGGAGGAGGAGGAGGAGGACGACGAGCCTCCGCTGAGCATGCGTCCTCCACTCTCACTTCCCTCTTCCCTCAGTGACTTTGCAGGCGGGGGTGGGAGCTGCTGTCTGGTACGAGGGGTGCTGCTCTTCCATGCAGAGACTCATTTCAAAAAGAAGGTGGTGTCCTCCATGGGGCAGCGGGGGTGCTGGGAGGAGGGATTCTTGGCTGAGGTCTCCGCTCCATCCTGTGCCCCATCTCGCTGTCTTGTTCCCTGGTGTCAGAGCCACCTCTGTAGTGTCGCTGTCTGGGGAGGGAGGATGTGGTTTGTGACGAATCTCTCACCTTAGTTGTGCCAACTAAGCTGTGAAATCCGTGTTGGTACCCGTGTTTTTCCCGGCAGAATCCGTGGGACGCACAGCTCTTTGTTTCTGGTTGTCTTTGGTGAATCTCTGCGAGTGTAACCCGTTGAAGCTAACTGTAGCTCTGTAAATATGGTTCTTTTTGTAATTGGCTGCTTACCTCATCCTGCTGAACTCCCACTGCGACATGCAAGGCGTGGGCAGCGGCTGGGCGGGCTGCTGAGCTCGGGGCAGGAGGGGTGGGAGGCTGACGCACACTACGAGCCCTGCACAAAATGAAGGACCTCTGCTGCAGGAGGGTGGCATTTCCGCTGGGCCTGGGGCCTGAGCACGTAGGGATGTATATGCATGATAGCCAACTACGTATGCAAAGCACTTATGTTCACGAGTACTGTATGGGGATGGCTGTAGAGCTGCCCATTGCGGCTGGCTGGCACAGGCAGTGCTTGGGGCATCTCTTTGGAAAAGGCTGAGTTCAGAGGGCTCCAGGGCAGCGGAGGAGGTGTGGGGTGGGCCCTGCAGGAGCTTTAACAGCCGGACCTGGGCTCTGAGTTGAGGCTGTGGTGGCTTTTGCTTTACTGCATCATCCTGAGTGCCCGGCTTGAAGAAAGCATCGATCGTCCTCTTGATTTGCCTGAGAGGCTCTTTCCCTTACAGAGGCCACGTCCTCAGGACAGGCTGGTGGATGCTGTAGGCTTTGCTGCTTCTGCTTTGTGTTATGATGGGCTGTGCTGGGACCTCAGTGCTGCAGTGCTGTGTGTGCTCTGCCCACGTCCCGTCCTCCATGCGCTGTCTGCAGTGGGGCATGCAGCATTTCATGCTCCCAGTTCCCACGATCAGCTCTGCTGCTCGCATTGATCCAGGCCGCTCCCCGGATCCTTTTTGGATCTGGGATTGCTGATACAAATGTTACGTTCCTGTCGCTTGTGGCAGCTCTCCTTCCCCCAGCTGTACAGACCCCATTCCTTGCTCTTTGCGCCCTCCATGGGCCCTGGGCTGTGTGCTGGGGCTCCCCTGCTCTGTCAGTGTTTGGTGCTATCACTCGGGAGGATCGCATGGCGATCAGTGATAATTAATAATTAACAATTAAGGGAAGAGTTTGGGCTGGGACACGAGAGCTCAGATGGACAGTAGGGCTGGCAGCCCCAGTGCTCAGTGTGTAATAATTATTGGAGGTGATTTATTGAGAGTCACTCACGCTCCATCTGCAAGGAAAAAAACAATATAAAAATGTCCTGAGAGGAGGAATTTTAGGGAGAATACCATTGCAGGCCCAACCTGAAGCAGGAGGATGGCACTGCTGTCTTCTGGGACCAGGCGGTGGCTGAGTCTCCCTCCCCCCATAGGGACACCCACTGGGGACATTCAGACACTCGGTTGTACTGTGGGAAACTTAGAAATCTCTGTAGAGTTATTCCATGAGTGAACGTGTCTGTGGCCAGCTCAGTTACTCATATTCTTGCTTCTGGTGTGTGCTCTGCAGTGCATTTATCGCCGGCAGTCCAAACAGATCCGCAACCTGTTGCCTCAGTAAACAGCACAAAGTGCAGGTTGGTTTGGTGATGGCCTCGCTGAGCACAGCCAGACTCCCTCTGGGGGCTGTTAGCTCAGCTGGAGGGCTGTGTGTGCATCCGTCACTGAGAGTTCGAATCGGGCATCGCTCAGAATCAAAGCCCAGCTGCCCCCAACCCCTCCGATAGCAAACCAAGCTGGAACACCAGGAGGTTTATTTTCTGCTAAACTTCTTCACCCTTTACAAGAGACACAGAGCCCTCATAGGGGCTGTGACACCCCAGAGCTTTGTGCCTGTGCTGGGGGGGTGGGCTGCAGGGAAGCTCCTCCAGCCCCTCGCCCACATTGTCCCCCCCCCAGCACCGCCTGCTCTTTTTCAGCCGCTCCCAGCGCTTTGCTTGGCCTGGGCTTTGCTGCCCAGGGAAATTGCAGCTTCCCGTGACGGCATTTTTTACCCTCCCAGCTGTATTTCTGATTCTCCTCTCGCTGTCCCTCCCTGCTGCACAGCCACAGCCTCTGTGTGAGCTCGGCAGCAGTCGCGGTGGCCCCGCTGCATCTTCCAGCCCTGACACGCATCACCGCGGCTGGGGACGCGGGGTTGGCCCCCTGGGGCTCTGCTTGCAGTACTGTGTGTGGTGAGGAGGACCGGGCCCTTCCCAGGGCTGCCATTCCTCCAGGCCATGCTTTACGTGGCTCTCAGAAACGCTCCTTTTCCCTTCTTTCCCCTTCAGGTGGAAGACCAAACCCTGAGCTTTGCGCAGCGCAGCTCCCCTGGAATAAGCTAGTTGTGATTTGTCTATGATGCTTTTGCTCGTGCTGTCTGGGTAGTGACGTGTTTCGAGGCCCTGGGCTGTGCTTTGCTGCTTGTGACCCGCATGTCCCCCACCGCCCCACGTGCCCACGTCCCACGGGCACAACGCGGCCGTTCCGCTCCCAGGGCGCAGCGCAGCCCTGCGGGGGGAGAGCCCAGGGATGTGCCCGGCTCTGCTCGCTTCGCGTCGGGTCACGTTGCTCTGTTCCCAGCTCAGGACGCTCTGAGCCCCCCAGTATCACCCCCCCAATATCACCCCCAACGGCGCTCGCATCGCAGGGGGGTGATGGGGGTGGCAGAGGTGCCCCGACCGCTTTGTGCTCAGAGAGGACGTGGCGGCTGTGTGAGCGCTACCGAGATGTTAGTCCTTAGGTATATGCAATAATCCATACTTAACTCGCCACTTCAGCTGTTTGTTACCAGCAGTAGTTCTCTATGCTCTTTCTGTTGATGTTTACTAATGTAAACCCAGTATTTGTTACTGTAAGAGAGTTTTTTGTACGGTACTTCAAAAAAAAAAAAAAAAAAAAACGGAAAAAAAAAACCCACAAATAAAACAGACTTAATGAGATGATCACAGGGCTTTCTTTGGGGTGGCAGTGAGTCCCCAGGGGAAGTGAGATGGGAGGGGACTGAAGTGGAGCTGCGCCCCGAGGGGCAAGAAACATCTGGAACCGCCTGGCTGCAACCCATGGGGAAGTACCAACTTCCACCAGCACTCCCAGAAGGGGCTGGGGGCCGGGTCAGGCTCCAGCTGCAGGGCTGGGGGCTTCGCTGGGGGCTCAGAGCAGGGCTGGGGCTGCCCCAGGCTGCCCCAGGCTGCCAGGAGATACTGGTGCTGCCAGGAGATACTGGTGCTGCTCAGGGCTGTGTTTCTGCCCTTGACCTTTTGCAGCTGCTCCGTGCATGAGGAAGCAGTGACAGCCAATAGGGCTGGGGTGGGTGGCCTTGCCCCAAAACCCAAATGGCAGAGCTGTGCCCCGAAGCCACCGCCGCCCCACGGCACGTGCTATGGGGCATCAAGGATGGTTTGGCGGCATCCACAGCCCCACGTGAGTCAGCGGCGTCGGTGTCACATGAGGAGGTCGGTTGCGCCAGGCAGGAAGGGCGTGCGGAGGCGGGTGCAGCCGGGCTTTAAAAGCCCCAGCTGGGACAGGCTTGTCTCTGCGCTGGCTCTCAGCCACCCTGCCGTCCCCATGGCCCCTGCTGTGCCGCTGGCCCTGCTGGCCATGGGGCTGGGGCTGGGACTGGCCCTGCCCAGCTGTGACTACCCGACCCACCTCTGGTGCAGCTCACGGGAGATCGCCGTTGCTTGCCAGGTCAGAGCTGCGGGGCCGGTGTTGGTGCCATCTGGGGACACAGCTGCTGCTGTACGAGGCTGGGGTGGGGGTGTGCGGGGCTGCAGCTGCACACAGTGCTCACAGCTGGTGCTGGTACCCGGTGCATGCGCTGGCTCCGAGCAGGGATGCTTGGGGTCCTGCATCCCGTGGCACTCCCTGCCACACATGGGGAAGAGCTGTGCTGCAGTCAGACCCTATCCCATCCCCGGGCTCCGTTGTCACTTCTTTTTCAGCATGAAGCAGCTTTGCAGCCCGTCCTGTCATGAATCGCTCTGGATGCTGGCACCGCTGATGGCGGGTCCGGCAGCACTGGATGGGCTGCAGCCCACCCAGCGGTGGGTGCTGTGCCCCCGCTCAGGCGGGTCCAGACCCCACTGGCTGTGGTTTTCCCCAGAATACATGGCGGAAGTTCCTGAGGAAAGCCCCAGCACCACATGCACAATCCTGCAGCTGCAGCAAACCCTCTGCGGTTCTCACTTCCCTCCCCGCACACACAAGGCTCCGTCCTGCTCCATCCCAGCAACTTTCCCCCATGCTATGCAACCGCAGGTGGCTGCAGCCTTACCGTGGCACAGCCCCCATACCCCAAACCCTTTCACTCACAGGCAGAGAGCCTCTGTGCCAACCTCTCGCGCCCGACAGCCGCTCCCGTGCAGCTGAGTCTGTACTACGAGAGCCTGTGCCCGGCGTGCCAGGGCTTCCTGGTGCAGCAGCTCTTCACCACCTGGGTGCTGCTGCCCACCGATGTCCTGAACATCACTCTGGTGCCGTATGGCAACGCTGAGGTAGGAGCAGCTGCAGCCCTCTGCTGAGTGCGCACTGCCAGCTGCGCTCACACCGCTTCATCCTGCAGGAGAAGAAGGTCTCTGGGAAGTGGCAGTTCCAGTGTCAGCACGGCTCGGAGGAGTGTTTGGGCAACATGCTGCAAGTGAGCCAGGCTGTCCCTGTCCCCGTCCTCATGGGATGGTTTGGGGGACGCTCACCACCTCCCCCCACCCCTGCAGGCCTGCCTGATGCACGAGGCCGAGAACTTCACCACCTACTTTCCTGTCATCTTCTGCATGGAGTCGGGCTCCTCCGCCACCAAGAACCTGAAGGCTGTATGACACTGTCCCCCGCCCCACAGCTGCCCTCCGTGACCCTTAAGGTCCCTCCCAGCCTAAGGGCGCTGTACCATGCTGTGATCCCAGTGCCTGCAGGTGTACGCCCCGCAGCTGGACGCAGGCCGCATCACCGCCTGCGTGAAAGGGGAGCTGGGGGCCGCCCTGATGCACCGCAATGCCCAGCTGACGGAAGCTCTGGACCCGCCGCACCAATACGTCCCCTGGGTCGTCATCAATGGGGTACGGGGGGGGAGGGGCTCAGGGCTCGGAGGGGGGGCCGTGGGGATCGAAGCTGTGACGAGCAGCCCCACGTCTCCCTGCAGAAGCACACGGATGAGCTGCAGAAGAAGGCCCAGGATTCACTGCTGAGGCTGGTGTGCCAGCTGTACCAGGTGGGACGGGGATGGGGATGAGACGCAGCGGCCGGCGGTGCCACGGGGCTCTGGGTCGTGCTGCGCTCCCCCCGCCCGGCACTACCGGCCGCTGTGTGGCAGGGGGACAAACCCAAGGCCTGCAAGGACACGGAGAGCCCGAAGGCCGCGGCTGTCTGCAGGCGCTGAGGCCGGGTCTGCAGGGCCGGAGTGGATGCAGGCGGCGGGGAGAACCGCGCGAGGAATAAAGAGAATAATTAATTGTGTAAGGAAACAAAAAGAGCGTCCAGAGCGTTGTGTGGGGAGGGCGAGGGGTCCGCCGAGGCGAGGGCCGCAGCACAGCCCTGCGTCATGGCGCTGCTCTGCGCGGCTCTTCTGCCTCGGTAGCTGTCATGGCGGCCACCGGAAGCGGAAGTGACGTGTCACGTGGCGCCATCTCTCCTTCCGCAGGCGGCGGTGGTGAGGGGGGCGGGGAGGGGGGGGCGCCGGGTACGAAAACATAGCGGGAGGGGGACGGGGGGGCACGGGGTGACCGAAGGGGGGACGTGAGGGGTAAGTGGG